GGAGGGGGTGGGATGACTTGGGAGATTGGGATTGACATATATACACTAATATGTATAAAACAGATAATAAGAACCTGCTGTATAAAAAGTAAAATAAATTTCCAAAAAAAACCCCATCTATTTTTATCTGCATATGTCTACCTTGTATCATAGGCACCAATGAACTTGTCTTCTCATCAAGACAAGGACTCTGTCATTCTCATTTTTGTGTGTCCTCCCCTAGGAACAGGACCTTAAATGGGGGCACCTGGAGAGGTTCCCAATCATACCTACTTGAGAAACAAAATCTTTTCCTACGTTTAAAACAAAAACAAGAACAAAGCCCCAAGACAAAACAAATTACTGGGAAACCACCAGAGAACTTCCTGACAGGCAGAGACCACACAAAACTGAGAGGAGCTAACCCAGTCCAAGGCCCCCCGACCCCCATCACTTTCCAAATGAGGAAACCGAGGCCCAGACACGATTCGTAACTTGCTGCCTCTCTACGTCCCCATATAGATCTGTTCCCATTTCTTAACATTGTGATTCTTAACCAGAGTAGAGCAACAAAATCACTGATGGGCTTTAACAACTCACAAAGTAACAGAATCACCAAGAAGCCTTGGAAAGCTCACAAATGCCCAGGTCCTTCTCCAGATCTACTGAATTAGACTCCCTCACAGTGGAGACATGATATATGTATTTTTAAAAGCTCCAAGATATGGCTAAAGCATATTATTAATTAAAATTTTCGCTCCCCCCCACCAAACAACAAGGCCGGAGAAAACAGGTGGTGGTTCAGTAGCCTTGGACCCTCTCCACCCTTCGTCCATCCTTCTGCCCAGCACGATACCCAGCAGGGAGAAGACTTTCAGTAAGTTTCGGAAGAATAATCCAATCAAAAGAAGGAGGCGGTCCATTCTTGCTACAAAGCGTATAACGCTCCGTCTATCCCAGGACCCTGAACGCCCTTCGGGGCTCCAGAGCCCGATACTTGGGGCACAATGACCATCTCTTTC